GAATGGGTCCAAAACAGTCACAGATGCATACCAATTGAATTTTTAAGCAAATATGAACGACTAAAGATATGGAAAGAATTTACCAAATCGTTCTTGGAGCCTTGCAATTATGGTGAGAACCTCCTCTTCATCCTCCCCAAGCTATCCGTGAAGTATTTTTGGAGCCGGAGATTCATTTTCTAGGCATAAAAAATAAGTTTAAAACCATTTGGGACATTAAAAAAAATTGAAATTTACCAAAGACTAAAAAGTTTTAAAAGAAATGAAACAAATAACCCCGGGTTGCCTCCCGGTTAGTTGCCCTTGTTTTAAGTCGTTGGCTCGACTTGGCCTCTGAATGTGCTTTGTTCTAAGTAGGTGGGCCTTTACAACACATTAACCTTCTCGCCACTTCCTTCAATTGAAAACTTATCTTCTACCTGACTTTTTTTTTTTTTTTTTTTTTGAAAGCACCTGCTCACAAAATGCTTGGCATAAACAATTAGTAACACCGTATCCCCGGCAACGGCGCCAATTTGTTAAGGCGTGTCAAACCCAACAAATAAAGGGGTACAAAATGACTCCAAAACACTGTTACTTTGCACTAAAAAATGTAAATACAAGGTAGCAGGGTCGATCCACAGAGACACGGGACAAGTGCTTATACCTTTTGCGAAAGGTACTACAATAATGGTCACATAATGGGGGGGGTTGGTATGCAATGATTTGAAACAAAAGAATAAAGCAATAAGTAAATGATCAATTAAATGAAACAAATTCAGGATTTGTGAGAACACTCCAACTCTATGCAAGACAAATTAGCAATGTGATTCCAAGGATGAAATGATATTTGTTCAATTCCATCTAATTGGTATATGGTTCTAACAAGATCTAAGCACCTCCCATTCACCACCATGATTAACCAAAATAAGCTCTTTGATTAATCCTAACCTTACCAATCTAATCTAAACAAGCTCTTAGAATTAGGTTGACAAATTGCATTAAACTTTATGTGAATGTTCCCAACAACACTCAATACTCCTCATAAGCTCGGGAGCATAAGAATGTGTGAATAAGATTTACACTAAATTCATTCAATAGAAATCAGTTTAGTGCTTGTTACCTAGTCCAATTTACAAAACAATTACGGATTTTGCAATTAGATAACTTGAATGATCTAACCCTAATTCAAATGGCCAATAAGAATCACAATTAGAATCAAACATTCGATTGAAACAAAATCAAATTCACTAGATAGAAAATTGAAAGAAAACATCAAGTCATATGATTGAAATCACAACTAGAAGTCAAGACATAAAGTTGGAGAATCTAGGGTTCTAGCCACTCATGACTAGAACAAGATCACAAATCTAGAAAATAAAATTAAAGTTCTTACAAAATGAAATCAAATGTTCCCAAGTATTAATCAACTTCAAAATCCTCAAGAAAATCGCTTTCTCTGCTCCAAAAGTCGACCCCCCCAAAGTGAAAAGTCGGTTCCCCCCTTTAAGAAAGATGAAAAACTGCTTTAAAACCCACGTTTACGTTTACACAGCCCGCGTAAATTAACACTGTCATTTACACGGCCCGCGTAAACGCAAAAATATACTGCGCAGAAATCTACGTTTACACGGCCCGTGTAAACGCAAGGCTTGCATTTACACGGCCGTGTAAATCTCTGTAAAGCCAAAATCTTCATTTCTTTGATATCTTGCTCCTCGGTGCTCCGCAAGTCCCGAAATTTGTCCGCAACTCTTATTTACCTCCTCAACAAGATCCTACCTCCAAAAGTCCCTAAAATATATCAAAAAGTATGTGAATGAAATTGCCTCATGAAAAATCCCGAAAAACATGCAAAATGCATGAGTTTAAGCCTATATGCAATGTACTTTTATGAAATAAAGCTACAAAATGGGTACATGAAATGCACCTAACACCGCCTGTCTCCGGCGACGACCACTGTCTCCGGCGACATCCACCGTCTTCGACGAACTTTTCCATCGGCTCCACTGTTTGCATGTTTATTTTGTATAAGGAATTTGATATATGTGTATGTCTATTTGAAAATGTATTTCAAGAAAATGTGTTGGATATATGTGTATGTCTATATGTGTATATGTATATGTATGTTTGGAATGTGTATATGTCTATTTGGTATGTTTGGAATGTGTATATGTCTATTTGGTATTTTGTATATATGTATTTGTATATGTATAATTGGTATTTTGTATTTGGTATTGAATTGGTATGTGTATATGTCTATTTGGTAAGTGTATATGTTTGTATGTGCATTTGAAAATTTGTTTCAAGAAACCGTGTTTGATTGTATATTAATTTAGTGTATATATGATGTTATAATTGCAAAAATGTATATGGTTTGATTTAAGATAAAAGGAGTGTAAAGATAAGTGCAACTACATAGGAGTATATATTATTTAAATTTCAATAATATAAAATATTGTTACAAATAAACTAAAAAAATCAAATGTAAAGATAACATCATCAGTGTAACATTTTTAAATAACAACTTTTTGCTCATAAATAATATGTATGAATAATAAAAAAAAAGAACCGCATAAAACTTTTGTAGGGTGACTTAATTGTTAAGTAAGAATAATTTGTCTTTATAGTATGATATATTTTAACTTATATTCTTACTTTATAGGATGTGGATGTTAATGTTTTTCTCCAAAACCCGACATTTGTGACGGCAATTGGAGATATTATCCGCTCATTTAGCAAACAAGTCGACAATGCGATCAACAACGACGATGAAAACGATGATGGGGAAGACGATTAGTATATATTGTTTTATGTTATGGATGATGTTATTATGGATTTAGATGATGTTAATGTGATATACATTGTTTATGTTATTTGATGTTTTATGTAATGCAGATTTTTAAATTATATGTTTTATAATTTTATAAATTCTGCATTTTTATACTATAAACTAATATAAAATATAAATTTTATCTAAAAAAACAATCATCAGTGGCGACACCTTTAGGGACGATCTTAAGCATTAGCGATGACACATCCCGCCGGAATATTTGGCCGGTGGCCGGAATATTATTAGGGACGACGACTGGTATTAGCGACGATAAGTATTAGAGACGACGCCTTTAAGGACGACTTTGGAGTATTAGCTACGAGGTATTTGCGACGACCCAATTGAGACGACATGTCGTCCCTAATACCTTTAGGGGCGACTTTCTTGACTATTTGCGACGCTTTTTGTCGTCCCTAAAGGTGCCTTTTCTTGTTGTGTAAGGTTATGTTTGGTCGTGGAAATATTTTCTGATTTTTAGAAACGTTTTTTTTAAGAAAAATGAAAATTTTGAAAGTACATTTGGTTTTCCATACTATCCGCCCACCGCCTTTGCTTTTTCATACTTGTCTATTTCCTAAACTTTCCCACTATATTGCGGACCTTTCTCGTTTGATGGTGGAAACCGGAAAATTTTGTTTTTTTTTTTTTTTGTAGGTTATTAAAGTTGACTTTGGTTTTGTCCGTCACAAACGCAACAGTTGAAAGATGTTTTTCCGCAATAAAACTCTTGAAGACCGACTTGCGTAATAAAACGGGTGATGATTTTATTAACGATGTTTTGATTTGCATTGTAGAAAAAGAAACACTTATGAAAATATCAAATGAGTGATGTAACGCTTTCGAAAAAGATTTCAACTTTAAAATGTAATACTTTTGTGCTAATTTGTTATATTTAATGAAAATATGATTTAAAATAAATATCTTATTATCTTTATCGAGAATTTTTTCGTGCTAACATTACAAAAGTTTCTGGCTCCACCACTGCATCCACACCTACCCCACCCTACCCACCACCTTACCTACCCTACTCATCACTGTCAACTCATTCTAACGATAAACACCCAAGCTACCTACACTAACTCCACTCCATCCGCACCCCATATCCTACCCACCCTTACATACCCCAAACCCACCTTTAACACCCCCCCTCCCCGATTGACGTAAGCAATGACGCACGAAGAAATTATTGAAGACATGATTGATGTAAGCAATGACGAACAAAGAACCTATTGAAGACATTATTGAAGACACGTGTCCTTTCCGTGTGGAAGGAATTGTAATTATTTATTTGTCATTTGTCTTGCATAATTATTATTTGTACTAATCGGTAGAATATGACATAAAGTAAGTGTCTTTAGGATGTAAAATAAAGTGTAAGACCCTCCATAGTGTAAGGGTCTAAAATATAAATATAGTTTGTTTTGTTGTATTGCAATCATAGTGTAACCGGCTCTTCCGCGCCTATAAATAATGAAATAAACCAGAAGTTATTTGTGTGTTTAAAACTTGAGTTAACTCTCAATATTCTTCTCTATTGAAATAGATTTTCTATTTCTGAATAGCAGAGTCTTCTATCCAAAATCATCCATATAATCAACGCAATCAATCATCAAGATCATCTCTACGCATCGTTTTAGGTATTACGTTCCGATCCATTTTAATTTTTATCAATGTCATCGTGTTCAACTTCCGCAAACTTATTTAAAATAACTTTAAAAATTCAACAGTTTCTTTTCCAAAAAATATTTTAAACCTTGTTTAATATAACAAAAACTGAAAAATAAAAACCGATAAAAAATAAAAAAAAAAACCATAAGTTCTAAACAAATACGTTTTCTAATTTTCTAAACTTTAAAATAAAAACTCAAAATTTCTAATGAAACACATTTTCTAAAATTTTCAATAAAAACTGAAAATGAAAAATTCATTTCTTTTTTAACTTTTCCAAAAGAAATAATAAAAGTTTTTCCACAACCATACACAATATAAACCTCTCACACGAAAATCATTAGAATATGTCTTTTATAAAAAATGTCAACCAGAAACTAGCTATTTAACAAATAATTACGCCACACATTTTATCATGTTCACATAATCCAAAATTATAAACCAGTCCAAATAACTTCTGAATCAACTTTAAACAACCATAAAGTTTATTGCTATTTTAATACCATTTTGTAACACCTCTTTAAGTATTAACTCCAAACACAAACCCATTACTATACGAAGGAAGATTACTCGATACACCGAAATTCCTCACGGGAGACCGAAAAGGATTAGGCGTAACAGGATGCGTGATATGCAATCCCGCACCCCTAATAACTTGTTTCGCCTTTCCACATAAAACCTCCGATTGATCCGTAAAAAACCCCGGTAAATTCTTAGATTTTACCACCTCAAGAGCCCCAAACCAACTAGAACTACTCTCAAATCCACAGTTTAAACCTACAACCAAATCAGGCCGAGGTAAAAAAGACGCTTCCTCTTGGTAAATACCCTTTACCATATTCACACGCACGTGGGTCCCGGTTTGAAAAGTCAACCCCGATAGAGTACTCGGAACTTTCGGACCGATCATAACTATCTGTAAATTCCCCGGCCCGTTTAGTGTAGAATCTATTTCTGAAAAGGCCAGCATCCAATCGAGCTCCTCTTCGGGTCCGATGTAGTGTAAAATGACGTTTTTACCCTTGAGTAAAAGATTCTTGGAAGTGATACTTAAAGTTGTTAGTATGTAGTAAACGGTTAACGGATGGGAAAGAATATGAGCAACCGGGCTCGATAAAGGAAGTGACCGGAGGTTGTAATACTCGGGCCAGCCCGAGATAATTACCGGGTTTGACTTTGACTTTGACTTTTCATGAGGGTATTCGTCGTCATTTAACCCGCCCCAAGAATCTTGAATTTGGTCTGTTGTAGGGAGTGAACCGAAAGGGCAGTGAGAAAAACAAGGGCATTTTCGTCTCCACATACCTTTTCGATGAACACCGATCGTTTCGAGGTATTTACACGGGTGAACGTCGGAATTGGAACACGGGAATGTGAAGGCCGGAATCGCTAATTCCTCTTCTCGTTCCATCATCACTTTATAAAGCCCACATTCAGCTTTATGTGATTCCTTCCAGTGTTGCTTTTGACAAAAGGAATCACAATAGATTACACCTTTGCAATGGTCACAAATTGTGATTTGATCACCTGGAACTTCTTTATCACATTGTGCACAACGTCTTAAATCGAGATTTGAGTTGACCTTTTCGGTTTTTTTAGTAGGGGTTGACTGGGTTGACCCGGGATTTGAGTTGACTTTTTCGGTGTATCCATGACCTGGCGGGTGTGAGATTGTAACTGCAACAAGATTGTTACTTTTTGACATTTCAGAAGGAAACTGTACATCAACGGTTTCAATAAACGGGTCAAAGTGAAGGGATTTTGACCATTTTGGGGTGTTGTAATCTTCTTGAAGTAAAGAATGAACTAATGAAACGGATTTCATGACTCCATAGAAGAATCGAAGCTCTTCGATTGTGGGGTTTCTGCATCGAAGCTCACCGGATGAATTGCAACGACAAATGTCAAAAACAGGGTAACGATTGTCACCTGAAATCTCTAAACACAAAGATTTGATCATTTTTTTATGTGAAGGAAGCATTAATGATTCGACTTCATATGTTGCTCTCATGATCTCAAGATTTGGGACACGGATTGTTTCTCGAGAACCTGTCATTTTTTTTGCATCGGATTCTGATCTGAACATGTATACTGCTAAATCTCCACCATTTCCGCCTATGAATTGTACACAAGGGAAGAGCTGCTTCTTTCCTGGCCAATCTGAATCTTTTCCTACTTTAAGACCGAAAAGATGATCAGGTTGAAATCGCTTCCATGGATCTGTTCTGTATAAAGATGCTGCAGCTTTGTAAAGGGATTTGATGAAAGAAGGAGAAATGTTTTCGATGTTCATCAAACAAGTTCCTGATCCTGTACCAAGTCCAGGGCCTGAACCAAATTGTTCATTATATCTTGTGAACAATTTCTTCAAATGGCTATCCATGGATTTCTGAATGTTTTCGAGCTCAAATCTATGATAACGATGAAGGACTGAAGCAGTTAGATTCTAGGTAAATATGGTGAATCTTTAATCAAGTGTATTAGGATCAGTAATCAACGGGTTAGCATAGCAGAAGTTGGAAACCCTTTTAATTAAACTGTTTCGTATTGATCAAAACGACCAAAGAGAAACAGCTTCAAAATGCAAATCCAGACTGTTTATAAACCAGGCAAAACCCTAAAACATTACTGTTATGAACGATTTAGCAAGATATGGTAAACAACTAAACCTACTACATAAATCGCCAATTGCATAATGTTCTAAAACAAATGACCTAATTTCATATTTAGTTTCTTTGAATTGCTAAACAGGTACTGGTTTCCTGAACTTACAATGAAATTCGGGGGGAAATGGAGAAACATTAGCGATTTGAAACCGAGTCAAGAGAATGCTATCATATACGCGACCGAATTCGATTTATATACAGAAATTATAGAGATTTAGTGAAGATGATCATACGAATTAGCAGATCAGATGTTTGATGCTCGCAGTGGGGAAGAAATGGAGCTTCTTGGCGAGAATCTAGAGTGTAAAGTGGTCAGTGGTATAGCTAGATTTCTATTGATGATTGTGGGACATGGGACATATAAATATGAGAAATTAAATTTACCACACTTTTATGCCTACAATTATTTCTACCTACTAAAATTATGATAATTTACCATTCAATTTAATTTTATTTGATATCTACCTCTACCTCTACTAATAAATGAAACCGAAAAATGACATGTGTCAGTTTTTTAGAATGTCTTTTTGACACATGACATTTTTCTATGATTTTTATTATGGATAATGACTTAAAAGGGTAACATATTTATGGATTTGTATATGTTTAGGCACTGAGGTTTTTTTTTTTGTTTATGTTTTCCCATTGAACTTGTTGAACTGTTCAAAAAACATCCTTATTACCTGCTATCGGTAGTTTAGCCGGTTTATGGCGAGACTCCGGCGAGTATCCGGCCAAAAACACCAAAAAACTTAGATTTAGATGTTTTTCCTCTGGAAAGTCTTCAACCCCTTCAACCAAGGTTAAACATCTTCAAGAACAACGATCAAAAAACGAGTTCATCATAAATTTCAGATTTACGTGTGTGTTTTTGTTAGATCTGAACAAATTTCAAACATAAACCCATATGGGTGTTGAATTTTCAAAGTCAAGAAATCAAACCTAGAAATCAATTTTTCATCTTCATCTTTTTTTGTTCAAACTCAAGAACTCAAACCCAGAAAATAATTCTTCATCTTCATCTTCTTCGATCAAAAATTCCAGATCTATCGAGATCTTCTAACGGGTTTGTTCATCGTGTTCTTGAGATCTTTATTAGGTTCATCAGGGTTGTTCATCGTGTTCTTGAGAACTTCTTCAGATTTGAATGTGTGTGTGTGTGTATGTATTAGATCAAAACACAAACCTATATCTACATGTGTGTATGATTTCGTTTTTTGCTAGATCTGCCTTGGACGCAATCGTTTTGCTCAAGAAATCATTTCTGGTGTTTTATTCTTCAAAAAACCAAAGTTTTGCTCAAGAAATCGTTTCAGATTTGCTTAAGAACACCATGAACGGAGGTTGAAGACGATGAACAATAATCTGATGTATATTTATCTGTGTTCATCACATATCTGATGTATGTGTTTTAGCCTCCATAATCGAAGTATGTGTGTGTGTGTTCATCTTATTTGTTTGTAGATCTTCATCGTGTTCATCTTCTTCCCAGATATGAGATTTTGGTTTTTGGAACGATTTTCAGATCAGTTAGTGTGTTCATGATTTGGAACAACACTCATACACTTCTCTCTTCTTTCCTTTCTGAAGTAGAATTTGGAACAACACATACTATTTTTCACTCCCTTCGAACACCATCATCTGAAAATCATAAACCCAAGAACTCGATTTTAATGGTGGCTTGGAGGTTAAAGACGATGAATAGTGATCTGATGTGTATGTATGTGTGTTTATATATTTATTTTTGTATGTGTTCTTGAATCTGGAATATATTTGATGTGTTAATCTTTGTTTTATGAAAAGATTATGTTTCGCCGGAAAAATCATGAACATCGGAGCCTCGCCGGAGAAAAAGACAGGAGACTCGTCGGAAACCGGTTAAACCTATGATTGCAGGTCATAAGGATGTTTTTTGAACAGTTCAACAAGTTCAATGGGAAAATATGGACAAAAAAAAATCTCGGTGACTAAATGTGTACATATCAAAAAATATGTTACCCTGTTAAGTCATTATCCCTTTTTATTATTTCCTTTTTTTGGTAACAAATGAAATTCAATCCAAATTTTGAAAATACAAAATCTTATCCTAATAACATTATTATTTTATTTTGTTTAACAAATTAATTCATAATTACTTACAATCGACAATATCTTGGTTTTTTACATTTATTATTAGTTCTATTTATATAGAAATTTTAAATATACCGACCATGGTTTCCAAGGGTTATAACCTAGTATTCCTAGTATAGCCTTAATGAGTTAGTTAAAAAAATATGGAATGAAGACACTTGTTATAATTTGATTGAGTATGAACATTTGTTGGCATAAAAAGTAAAAATCAATTTAATTACTCTATAAATATATAAATAGAGCTGAACAATTTGGCGCGGACACGGCCCAACCCAGAATGCTGGTTAGTGGTTAGGGAAGGTTTTGCCCGGCCCAAATTCCACCTCTTTTTGGCTCAAAGGCCTCGACATAACTAGCTATAGTCTATACGGTAAAACATAACTAGACCATTTAGACATCTTACGCATACTTTTATTAAAATCCAATTTCTAATTAATTATTCATAATTAATTTTTTTTATAAAATAATATAATTTTAACCGATAAAAATATTTTAGAAATTTAATAGGATGTCTTTAACCAATCATATGATAAATTTGTAAAGTATCAACTTATAGAAATATATTTAAAAAAATTGGTCTTAAAGCTCTTACCTTACTTTTAGAAAGAAGGTAAAGAAGAGGCAAGCACCCAAATTTACACAACAGCTAGTTTTATAAAATTCGGAAGTACCCCAGTTACATGGTTTGAAGCCCAATCTAGGTATAGTCTATAGGCCTAGACCGATAGTCTTGTTGAACGGTTAAAGCTTGTCCATGCAGGGGAAATGCTAGGTCTGGCCAAAAGGCCTATGCCTTTTGTGCACCTAGGCTTGCACAAAAAAACCGGTTCAAGATCCGAACCGGTCACTGAACCGGTCCACCAGGAACCGAACCGATTCAAGAACCGAACCGTCGGTTTGCACCCGTTCGAGATTTTAGACATTGAAACCGGTTTAGAACCGGTTTAATAACCGTGAACCGGTTTAGAACCGGTAGTCAAACTGATCGAACCGGTTTAGATAGGTTCGAGTTTTTCTAAGACGGAACCGGTTTGAACCGAACCGGTTTATGCCTGAATCGGTTTTACTATTCACGAATCGGAACCGAACCGGTTCGGTTTGGAAAAAAAACCGGTTTGTTCACCCCTATGTGCACCTGTATATGTAATTGTTGGTTATGAGTTGGGCCGAATTAACATGTTGGATTAACCGACGAGAAATGAGAGTTTTTCAGAAAAAAACATATTATATTTTAATAATTTATTTGAGAAGTCATTGTTTTACTTTTCTTTTAGAGAAATCATTTAAATTTCTAAAATTTCAAAAAATCATTCATGTTTTAAAAAGTTTTTATTCCGGTCATTTATAGCTAAAAAAGTTTTAAAAAATATCATTTTTTAATAAAATCTATTATTTTTTTTCATAATGTAGCATATTTTATAGACCATTGAAAATAGTTTATTGACTACTAGAGATTAACATGATTTTGGTTTCTCATTTTTTTAGTTTGTAGTTTTTATTTTGATGAGTAAATTATACGAAATATTCACATGGTTTATGTTCATTTTTTCCTCCTTTTTACTCGGAGGTTTTTCTAACGAGTCCTGAGTCTGTAAAGCAACTTGCTCATATGATATATATCTGGTCACGCCATACTAGTTAACCTCAAACCTTGTTTCTTGTTGTTGGAGCAACTCCTGTATGGTGTCATTTTGCCTTTAATATATATCCCTTCACAACCTGTAAACCGTTTAATGGGGTCTTCCTCTTCATACTGTTTTAATGGTTTGATTACAGTAAGTCAATTATTTCTTTAGATCTTTAATGTTTCTTTCCACACTTGTAGTGGGGAGGTTTTCTAGGTTGCATTGGCGGGGAGAAGACGAAAGAAAAGGAGGTTGTGGTTTTCTTTCATGTAATTTACTCTATTTTTTCATTTATGGGTTTCTTCGGTAATAATTTTGCTAAAATTTAACGGATAAATACATAATTTCCTATAAAGAAACAATACAAGACAAAGCCTACATCATATGTGCTTATTATTGTAATTTTATATAGAACTCGTAAATGCATGATAACTATTATATTTTCTAACATATTTAATGAATTAAACATATACATAAAATGATATAAATTTGTATATCTCAGTTTAGTTTTTTTTTTTTTTTTTTTTTATTTTTATTTTTTTTTTTTTTTAAATCTAAGAAACCAAATTGAATCGAAAAAAAAAAAAAACGGTTTTTCTAAAATACAAAACTGTTGGTTTTTCAAAACGTTTCATTCTTTTTTCTAGTTGTTTCTTGGTTCTTTGCAATTGTGTACCCTTATGAACCAACAACTTCATGTTTCCTTTTGTAAGAGGTTGCCTAACTCACATTACATGAGTTGAAAATGAACTTCGATAAACGAATACGACATAAACATATAAATATTTTTCGATCAATTCATATTCAAGTGAACTCTAAATACATCATAACATCCTTGTTCATCGGTCTTTTTGTTTATATACAGTATTATAATGTAATATTTTGTTCTATACCGCACGAATGACTTTAAAAGCACACGTCAACTCAAATAGTCATCGACAAAAGATCAATATAACACGAATGATAAACATTAAATATATCTGTACCAACATATACATATAATTGAACAAACATAAAATCTCATCCCATGGAAATCCCATCTTTTTGATCTATCAGAGTTTTAACAAAAGATCATGATTCATGATGGGTCTTAAGTAGCAAGAAATATTTGAATAAGTCATTAAAAATTACATAAACATAACAATCATGGATTGGGGTCATTAGCTAAACCATAACCCGAAATTGCAAAAACACCACATTCCCCCGTGGTCACCATCGTTGTTGGTGCCACCATTCTCTAAGTAACATTCTCACTTTTCATCACATAATAAAGATATAACTGGTAGTTATTCTGAATTGTTTACACAATAAATTGAAAATTTTAAATCAAATAACAAAACTAAGAGTAGGTGCTAACAAGTTCATCAGTCATCTGTGCGAGTTACATTCAAACAATCATGGGGAATTACCATCTTTTTGCCATATACAACCTGTCTTTTCCATGTTTATTAGCATCAAAGAATCTCCCGTACTCCATGTCTTGCCCATTATGACACCTATAATCAAATAAAATAAAAAATTGAAAGAATGGCGAATCTAAACAGATCTCTAATATAAGATAACAAAATTACTTTCTTTTTTATTAGACAAGATTAAGAAACGTGAATACAGTTACTTAATCATACAGAAAAAGAAAGTGCATTCCTAATATACAATTGGCAAAGTCAATTAATCGGTTACAAAAACAAAAAATTGATCAATCGACCAGCAATTAAACTATCAATCAACCTCTTAAAAAAAAAAAAAAAAAAAAAAAAAAACTATACCAAACTTTTTATCAGTGGGGATCAAGAATGCAGAAACCAAATCAAAAGAGTGAGACTAGAAAACCATCAAGGTGTGAATTTTGTAGTGTAACGTACTTCAAGACACGATAAAAATTTTATGTTGTGCAGATTTAGTCGATAACAAAAGCACGAGTATAGAGTTGCAATCCTTCATAAATTGTCTCTCTTATTTCCTTCTGGAGCTATTTCTTTCACAGAAGACATGATTATGTGTTCTTTTTTGTTGTTTTTATAGTGTGAAATAAAATTGACCAACTTCCTTAATTCTGTAGGATATTTTTGAATTTGGAATTGTACTTATTTTCATGAGAATTGAATATGTTAGATGCACATATATTTTGGGTTTGTAAATGCACAAGTTGTATGAAATAAATAGGGATAAGAGGTATGGGGGATAGACCCTATTACCCTTTGTCTGTATGGGTGGCCACCTGCCCTCCCTAAAAAGTTAATGTGAATCTGTATTTAAGAATCATATATAGTTAATTAATGTGAAAAAGGGCCAAATACAAGAAATAGCAATGTACTTTCATTTTATTTGTGTATTATTATAGCATCTTACTTCCATTTCTTTTTATTACAATATTGGACTTTCATTTTTTTTTCTTATTAAGATGTTGCTCTCTGAAAAATACTTCTGATTTTTCTTTTATTAGGACATGATACTTTGAAATCTTACCCAATTATAGTAGTGAAATATGCTCTGTATTTGGATATTGGTATAATTGGGTAGATTTTTTAGAGTATTATGTTGTAAATGTAAAAAATGGAAGTAGGATGTTATAATAAACAAGTCAAGGAAGTATGTTCCTATTTCTTGCATATAACCTTGTGATAAAAGTTGTAGAAGATGTGCCTTTCCACAAATCACAACAATTTAAGTTTTGAATTATGAATTTCAGTAATTTATTAAGTGCTGAACATGAAGTTCCATTATATGGCATCTTGTTTCTTCATATCAAAGAGTTGCATTCATGATTTAGAAAGAAAAAAAACACTTTTCTGCTTTGATACTAAGTTTATCAACGCAGGAACAAAAGTCATCAAAAACAAACTAACAGCTAAATGAAACATGTGCTCCCGATGATGCTTAAGTCAATTGATTGGAATAATTAAATCTTTTCCCTACAAATAATGCGAGGTTGCCTTATTCTTTCACTCTAACTCAGTTAAGAAGGCTTGACTAAACAAAGATTCAACCATTTAAAAGATAAAAGCACATTGAGCAATTAATACCAAATTTTGGGTAAAGAATACCAACAGACATTTTACTAGGTAGCAATTATAAAAACTATTTATGTACAAAACATTCATGGTGTCAGTTGCGTAAAACGTATTAAGAGTCATGATTGGGTACACAAGAGGGCATTTTCCTTCCATCAATTATGATCGCCAGTTCATAGTTTCCCATATCATCTTGCTCCTGTCGTATTTTTTGAAGGGATACGAGAAGAGAAGCACCACACTTAAAAACGTAAATATACTCAAGCGTTGAGATATCCCCTAACTCAAGGGGTATCTCTTCAACATCAACGCAATTCCTCACCTGTAATTCTTCAAGACATGGAAAGTTGATGCTTGAGGCTTCCCATTGTTTGATATTTAACTCTTCAAGTCCCAAGAATTTTAGTTGTTGAAACTGCTCCTCACCTGGGTGTTTCCCACAGGGTTCCCTCAAAGCAATTGTCCTTTAGTAATGCTAAACTGGAGGGGAAACCAATTAATTTACTTTTATCTAGATTTAACACCCTTCCAAGTGCAAAGGAACGGAAAAACTGTGTGATATTGTCAGTTAAGGTTGTTTTCCTATGAAGGCACAAAAGCGATCGAATACTTGTGGTGGGGGAATGAGACAAACTCATAATGTCGATTTCTTGATTTGTGACCACACGGCGATGCTTACGTGGGGTAATTACCTTATTCCAATTTCTCAATTTCTTGATTTGTTTTTTTATGATATCACAAAAGACAATTAGATGGTGGTTCTATTTTTAGGAAGAATCTTTCTTCTTTTCCCTTTTCCATAGATAGCTGCTTCACAAGATCATGGACTTTACGGCGTCTGACATCACCTGAAAGATACCCTTTTTGTACAATTAGAAGATTTCTGTCAACTAGATCCATCAGGTAACCCTTGGCAATTTCCTCCAAGCTTCGACTTCCATCTTCTTGTATAAATCTCTCAGCCATCCATACCCAAAGCAACCATGGTGAATACATCTTGTAGTCTTCTGGAAACCCTCCAAGAAAAAGAAAGCAGACTCTCAAGTGAAGAGGTAGATGGTGGTAACTTAATGCTATTGTTTCCAGACATCCTTTCTCGTCACTAGCCATGTAAGAATGGACACTGCCAGAAATTTTTAGCCATGCGTCTTTACTCCTTGCTTCTTTTGCTAAAACTCCTGCCATCACAACCACAGAAAGCGGCAATCCGTGACAGTTTTTTGCAATTTGCATTCCAGGTTTAATCAACCATTCAGGACACTCGTCTCCTTGGAACACCTTCCTACACAGCAACTTCCAACTTTCTTCTTCTTTTAAATGTTGTAAATGATGAATGAGTCCATGGGATTTTGCATGTGCAGCAACTTCAGTGAGGCGACTAGTAAGCAGAATTCAACTTCCAGAATTATGGTCAGGGAAAAACAACTTCAACTTATCCCATGCCTCTGTATCCATATATCATCCATCAATCACAAGCTAGTAAGTATCTCTTACAGTATAGGTTCCTGTGCAAGATTTGATGAAAGAACTTGAAAGATCTTGAATCAATAGATCCCTCTTGTCATATGTTTGCGACACAGCTGCCCATCCACTGACATGAAAATGATAAACAACAAAGGGATCGGTGAACACTTTGTTGGCCAGGGTTGTCTTACCAATTCCACCCATACCACAATAAAGATCACATCCAGATGTTTTCCATCTTCAACAAGTTTGTGCCATATTTTCTCAGCATCACGATCAATCCCCACAACCATTTCTTCCTTTACTTTCTTCAATCCGAATGAATTTCTACTGCGGGAAGTTCCAGAAGATTGCATTTGCAGTCTGTCAGTTCTCAGAGAAGAGTCCATCTTCATGTTATCGATGTTCATGGTCATAAACTCTATCTTGATAGACTCGATTGATCTCATAACAACCTCGAGGTGGAGATAGGGCTGAAAGACATTAGATATAGGTGAATACCTGTTGTTTCTACAGTAGACAGCTGATAGAAAGATATCGACGATATCTTCTGCCTCTTCAGCTGCAGTTTTGAATCTTTTCTTCAGTTCTTTGGCTTTTTCAAAGTTGTGTAGATCTTGGTCTTCGTGGTTGAAAAGGGTTTGGATCATGGAGCCAAGCTCTGCATAAAGACATTGGAATTGCGGCCTTTTTACATAAAATTGATTGGTTGTTGATTTGTTCATTATCGTTGCAGTATATTAGCTGCTGCACATCTGCATACATCTTGTTTATTCCTTCGCGTGAAGAACAGGAGGAGGTTGGTTCCCCTTTGAATTTTCCTTGTAAATTTGGTGGGTTCATGTTTGCAAAATAGGGTTATGGTTATGGTCCCACCAATCCACCTGTGAAAAAGTAATCAAATATTTTTTAACCAAATAACTTTTTTTTTTCAAAAATAACCATTTTGTTTGAAATGAGGTAAAAAAACATTTTTTTTATTAAATCCAGAACGGTATTCCGGATTCTGGGCTAAAATTTCGTAATATTAACAGTACTCTGGAATGCATAATTCCGGAGTATTGTTCATATTCCGAACTAAAATTCTGGATTTCAAGGAAAAAAAACATTGAAATTTCAAGAACAAGTCTGAAATCCGAAGAAAAATTCCGGAATTTCAAGAAAAAAAATCATTTTTTTTTCTTAATTTAACAAAAAATTAAACAAACATAACAATATGAACTATATACAATATGAGTGCATAAACTTAGATATTTTATTGATAAACGATGACATTAAACATTACAAAATATAGCATTCGAAATCCCAAAATAAACAAAATAATTTCTTGGAAAATAAAAAAAAAAATTGAAAAAATGATGAACAATATTCCTGAATATGAACAATACTCCGGAATTAGGCATTCCGGAGAAAGTGGTTATTTTTTTAAAAACTGAAAAAATATGGTTATTTTATTGGAAAACCTCGTTTATAATGGTTAGTTTACTCAATTTTCCTTTTTATAATTTTTTAATATTTTTTGAATAAAATGCATAAATACGCCCTATGTGGCTATGTATTTTTTTTTTATTTCAGTCCAAAATTAATTTCTTGTAATTTTGGTATTGATCAAATAAAATATCATTGGTTTGTACTTTGTATTTTTGTCTTCTGTTTTAATGGCTTTTTTTTGTTTTTATCAAATTTAATGGGCCCACACACAACCACCACCACCACTAACTCTAACAAGTTAAGTCAACTTTCTTTATATTCAAAACAAAGACTCCAAGTAAGCAATCAATGTATCAAACCCATTTTTAGGAGAATACAATACATTGCATTAACTAAAGGTTCAAATATAAATACAATATGGATGGGCTTAAACAAATACTCACACCAACCATTAGGTCTAACATTCATAAACTTTATCAGACATCAAATCAAAACAAAATCCATAATCCTATATTATAATAAACCATAATATTTAGCCCGCTTTTGTCATGTTACAGTGTGAACTATGGCAAAAGCAATGAATCTTGGGTTCTTAAAGAGTTTTTACAGTATAAGAGTTCAAGTTTCAGCTGAATTTGGTGCTGACTTAATAACATTTGAAACAGTCCCAAAGAAGCTTGAAGTAATCTGATCATATTCCCCCAAACAAATTTAAAAAGGCATTCAGGTAGGATGTATAAATGTAAGCCTGATAATATAGTTTTCTACATGCAATTTGCAATAAATGTGACCCCAATTGTAGTATATTTTGATAATTTTGTTATCACTGGAAGTAACAATCCGGGAATCTAACAACTTATGAAATATCTTTTGTGAGCAACTCCAGAACCTTAGACTTGCTTGGTGATCATCTCTGGGTCTTATTTGATGGAAAAAGTGTTAATTCATGGTTCATTTTGAACCATGCACAAGCTTTGGTCATATTGAGGGCTTAATGGATGGTTGTACATGTTGCTTTATGGATATGTATTAATGGGTAAAGTTGAAAACTTTATCCATTAAGTCATTGAGAAGAATCAAATATGAGGTTTTGGGCATTGATTTATAAGGATTACGTTCTTAATGAGAAAAATGGCATTTTGGCAGAAACCACGACGTGGCCAAGGAGGGTCCATGACGTGGTGGAATCATGCGGTTCGACTGTTTTGTCTGGACGTACCCACGACATTGCCAAGAGGTCACCACGTCGTGGTAAACCGTTGACCGTTGATTTTTGACCAGTTTGACCTTGGGTCAAACTTGGAAGTTTTGGGTTGTTGATTAAGGATTAATCTTTATTTTGTTAGTTTGTTCACGGGATTGATTAGTTCAATGAGTGAGAGTGTTGTTGCGCTTCTCCGGTTCTGCGATTCAGGCGAGTCTTCTCATCATGCCACATATGACATTGTATATCCTTTGTATGATATGACAGAGGTACTATTAGAGTACGAGCATGCTAGTTAACTAAGATAACTCCTTGTATTGTTTGTGTAGTGTAGGACACTTAGTGTCATGATATGCTAGTCATGTGTATGTGTGGACCGACCGTGCTTGTTTTGTGCTACTTTCTTAGTGCAAATATAGTAATGAGTTTTTGAGGTTATTTGTACCCTTTTATTTTTTGGGCCTGACACCTTAAAAGAATAGTGTCGTTGTAGGGGACACAATTTTACTGATTGTTTATGTCAAGATCTTCTGCTACAAGTACACCTTTCTCAAGTGATTCAAAAACGAAAACACCATTTCATGAAAGGGTGAGTACGTCCTTTTCGTTGAATTTTAAGTGAGTTTGAACCACTAGACCGACCTTCAAACGCCATTTGTGAAGAAATACTCTGACGAGAAGAAGAGAAAAAAAGAAGAAGATATGTGAAATTGGGTTCAATGCAAACCATATATTTGAAAGTCAGTCCTACCACAAAAAGATCCGATGTGGCTTCCAGATCATAATATTGCAATGTTATTTATTTGATAACCTGCTAGTTCGATGGTAACCAGTCAATTGGTTGACATTGCAATAAATTTGTAAATATAATGTCAAAATCAAAATTTTGGTAAACTTTGTGATTTTATTACAATTTAAAAAAAGTGGTTGCCGGAAGAACATGTAGAACCGATCATTTGGCCGATAGCGCAACAAAATTGTAAATATAGTGATTTAATTGAGAGAAAATAAATATAGTGTCAAAATCAAAATTTTCGGTTAACTTAGTGACCTTATTGTAATTTGGTCTATATTTAATTTTATTCACGCAAACTATAGATAGAGATCATTAAGATGATATGGTTTTTTAAAATATGTAATTTAAATAAATATAATAATAGTTAAAAATAGAAAAATGTCAAAAATCGAATTTATTTTCTCTCGCATCTTCGTGTATATGCCATTAATATGATTTAGTTTTAGTATTTTTTTTCTTCTCAAATATTTAAAATAATTATAATATTTTATATCTAGGAATTATTATATTATTATTAATAAAAATAATGTAATTGTCCTTTGAAAATATATATTTAACAAAGTTCAAATTTGCTGAAAATTTGATACCTTTTAAAAGTAATAGGTGTGTATAAAGAAGTTCAATAGATATGTGCCAATAAGAAAATGTTGAAGTTTATAAAGGGGTTTTATGTAAATATATCGTCTATCATTCATTTTGATCTTTCTGTCTCGTTCTGGTTCTTAAATTAGGGCTACGTTTCGTTCCCAAATTCAATCTGTCTCTCAAAAACTCGATCTTTCTCTCTAGGGTTACGTTATGCAACCTGCAACAACACCGCTAATGGACCCTCAGTACCAGCAACAACAGTGGATGATGATGAATCAACAACAACCACAACCACCGCAACAACAGTTCCAGCAACAACCACCGTTACAGCAAATGTATAATTACAACCAGCAACCACCACCGGCTGCCACAATTCCGCCTCAGTACACGGGACAGGCGGTAGCACCGGTAGGTGGTGCGACTCCTCAACCAGCTAGCGCCGATGAGATCCGTACGCTATGGATCGGCGATCTGCAGTATTGGATGGATGAACAGTATCTCCTTAGCTGTTTTGCTCAGACTGGCGAGGTGTTTACCATTTAATATTTCTGTTTCCATGTAATTATCTAGTTACAGTTTATCTTATATTGTTTAGATTTTAGATCCCAAAGTTTTCGTCTTCTTATTGGGTAAAGAGATTTAGAGATTCCTTAAATGCATTCCCAAGACAATCGAGAATTCTACATTTATAGAATTGTAGAAATTGCAGTGGGGGAGAGGGGACACAATTGGGGTTTTAATGGTCCGAATATGGATGATATACTGTTTATATAATGCCATGTTCATATACCTAAATTGCAGATACTGTGTTAAATTTTCTTGTAATCACGAGGAAAAAAGATTGTTTTTTTAATTCTTATTTCAAACTTAACACTTTTACATACAATATTGTCAGTGTCAGTTATGTTAGAATTAATGCGTTCATTAAGCTTTAACATGGTTGTGAAACTCCATATCAAGAAGATTTAGAATAGTATTCTGACCAACTGTATAGTTTATGCCATGAATGCATGATGAAAGCATTGTTCATGTTGCTTGATCCTACAATATATGGCTATCTAATTCTAAGGATCCTTTATGCTTGCAGGTGGTTTCTGCAAAAGTCATACGTAACAAGCATTCTGGTCAATCTGAGGGTTATGGTTTCATTGAGTTTGTAAACCGAGCTGGTGCTGAAAGGCATCTACAAGCATATAATGGTACTTTAATGCCCAATGTGGAGCAGCTCTTCAGGTTGAACTGGGCTACATTTGGTGCTGGTGAAAAAAGACAAGATGATACCCCTGATTACACTATCTTTGTTGGGGATTTGGCAGCAGATGTTACAGATTACACATTGCAGGAGACATTTAGGGCTCATTACCCTTCTGTTAAGGGTGCAAAAGTTGTAACTGATCGGCTCACAGGGCGCACAAAAGGTTATGGCTTTGTGAAATTTGGAGATGAGAGTGAGCAAATACGTGCCATGACTGAAATGAATGGAAGATTATGTTCAACCAGACCAATGCGAATTGGGCCAGCTGCTAACAAAAAGAGTGTGGGAAGTCAACAATATCCAAAAGGTACATGTTCTCTCTCTCTCTATATATATATGTTTTAATCTTATTAAATTTGATGGCTTTTATCTGTTTAGTATCTTCTTTATTGATTCTTGTATTTGTTTGTGTTATTAGATATTCTTTGTGTAGTTGTGTTATCCAAATTCCAAGCTTCTTAAGTTTTATGAATTCAAGATTGTGGTCGATTGATTCTTGTAGATAAACCATAAACGCCAACTTAACGAAGTGATTTCTTTCCTTCCCATGCTTTGAGAATTATGGGCATTAATGCTCTTAAAAATATTCAAAATGCAAAAACTTATATAAAACTCGTATTGTCTCAAAGCAGGGCATCAAGAGGCTCTATCATATAAAGGGTCGGGCATAATGATTTCAGCAGAAATTGTTACCCTATAGTGGGTGGCCTTGCTTAGGTCAGTTTTCCATTTTATGCCATTAAATTGCCCTTTTGCCATTTTGTATTTAAGTTCCTCAAGGCCAAATTATGCTGCTTTCCTTTTTTTTTTTCCCAAGTCCTTTTAATATTCAGCTTTCCTTTCAGTCAAGTTACATTATTCCATTGTTCCTTATCATTATTCATTCAGTTATACGTTTTTTTTTTGGTTATTTCTGGTTTAACAGCCACCAAAATTCTCTTTTAATCCGTTGAAACGTCTTTCTTTTACTTTCATATTTGGATCATTACCCCCTTCATAAGCTTTTATATCTACTTCCGTTTTATATATCTCTTTCAGTTATCTACAAGGTTTTATGATCACTAATATATGCTGCCATGTAAGCAATTATCACAGTCACAAACTAAAATAGCGGTTTTCTATATATCAAGTAGATCTTTTATATATAAATATGGAGAAAACTTCAACATATAAAATGTTTAACATGCTTTGTAATTGAGCAACTTGATGTGAGAAGGGCTAAGCATAGAGCCATAGATTCATGAAGAATACAACGAAAATACCACAAAATTATGAAAGAATTGTAAGGATATGGACACAAGCTCGTTGCCTAGAGCCGAAATTTTATAAAATATTAGTAAAAATAAAAAATGTTATATAGATGTTTGACAGACATTGACCTACCTAAAAGAAAGGTGCAAAAATCAAGTGAATGTGGGATCTTTTGTTGGCAATATTAATATATTCCATCATTTTTGTGTCTGAAGAAATCAGCATTTTCCATTGATTAGGTAAAGCTAAGCTGCTAAGGTTATATCTTTAGTTGATTTAGATGTGCATTATCATGGGTTTTGTTTCTTGATACATTCAATATGCAGTTGGAATAAATGATCATTATTGTTAGAGTAAATTACATTTTTGGTCCCTGAGTTTAGATGATTTTGGTCTTCATTTAGGGTTCTTGTAACGGTTTTGGTCCATTTTTTAAGTAATATGATTGTTTTTAGTCCCTGAATTTAACAATTTTGGTCCCGAAAAGATCTTGAAACAGGGATCAAAAACGTTACAAAAACGTCAAATAAGGACCAAAATTGCAAAAACCAGCTATATTCAGGGACCAAAAATGTAATTTATTCTCATTGTTATTTATGTTATGATATGATTCTATGAGATTTAGATTATATAATATATGCAAATAGTTTCCATTTGAATTAATGATGTATGAGAGTGTACTAATAATAATACAATTTCATCTCTAATTCTTGGATCACGAATCTGCTGTTGGATGCCTGGGGTTATGCAAAGGAGGCAAGGGATAATTGATTTTCCTTGTTGAGTATTTTTCATTTATATTTTCTTTATTTGCAGCTTCATACCCAAATTCTCAAGGAACACAGAATGATGACGATCCAAATAATACAACTGTCAGTAATTTGTTTCAAAATCAGACAACATGTTGCCTTATAAAAAAAATCCTAATTTAAAAAAAAAAAATGTGATTGCAGATTTTTGTTGGTGGTTTGGATCCTAATGTAACAGATGAACATCTTAGGCAGGTGTTCAGCCAATATGGACAATTAGTCCATGTGAAGATCCCCTTAGGCAAACGATGTGGATTTGTTCAATTTGCTGATAGGTAACAAAAATGTTTCCTGAGTAAAATTACAAAAAAGTCCTTGTGCTTTGACTCCTTTATGATTCGAGTAAAATCAGGTACCATTTATGTAACTTACTATTTCTAAGTTTTTAGAAATATTGATGCAGAAGCTGCGCTGAGGAAGCTTTACGGATGCTACAAGGAACTCAATTTGGTGGACAAACTGTGAGACTTTCGTGGGGCCGTAGTCCTTCAAACAAACAGGTTTGTTTTTGTTTTTTTATTTATATGATATAATATAATATAATATAATATAAGAGAGAAAATTGAAAGTTGAATTTGTTCAGCCTCAGGTAGAGCAAAGCCAATACAATGGTGGGTACTATGGATATGAAACTTACGGATATGCCCCTGTTCCTGTTGCTCAAGATCCTACCATCTACTATGGCGCCTACCCTGGATACCCTGGCTACCCACAGGTCCAACAACACCCGCAACCATCCCAACAACAGGTAAATAAAATTAACTCTAAATTACCAAATTATCCTCCGACCGATTTTTAATTTTTAATTTTTATTATCCCAAAATAAATTCAATGTTTACTTTTCGTTTCTAGTGAGTGATATGGTCGGCTATTGGATGCTGGAAATGAAGAATTCCGGGTTTTTATTTTCTACTATATTATAGTAAATTATCTATATATATATATATATATATATATATATATATATATATATATTTTTATTCTTGGTATTTCTGTTTGTTTGTTTGTTTGTTTGTTTGTTCATCCCCTGAGGCTTTTCTTCTAGCTACTTTCTGAGTTTGATATAGCCATTTGACTCTTAACAAATGTTGACAACATGAGATTGATTCAAGGTCTCCTTTGTTGCAATATGAGCGTGGTCTTTTCAGAATTTAATGTTTTTATTTTTATTTAAATTGTATTGTGGTATCTTAGCTTCATAATGCATGTGCATGGTTTATGCCAGATTATTTCATCATTGCAGTTTCAAATTGTAGATTAGTTTTTAGTGTTCGGTGAAGTGATTCTGTTTTTGATTATCTGTTTTTTTAATCAAGTATTTCAACACAAAATAGTCTCAATTTAAAAAGGTTTTTTTCGATAAAAAATCATGATTTTTGTAAATATATGAACAATTTGAATATTATCACCAACTTCTTGTATCTCATTGTGTGACTTTGAATGTTATCATATGATTAAATCTTGAATGATCCTCTAATTCTTCTTTAGGTATGTAATCACAGTATTGTTGAACAAAGTTGAAAATCAAAGGGTAAATGGTACAATTATCACCTTATTTGAATCTTTTTACAAAATTTTATTATTTTCCACCTTTTATCCGTCACTCCAAATTTACGTTTGATTCAACTTCGAAGATTTGAATGTACACGACTGAAAGCCTATTGAACATTGGTTGGAAACACATGTTCAAATTGTGATTGATGATATCTAATATGTGGATATGGTGCCATATATCCTTTGTCTAACATGTATTATTTTTTATATGAAGGAAATATTGGAAAAGAAAATAATTTAAAATAGTTGTCACAAGATTATTAACTAATTTTACATTCTTGGGACCTAGGAAAATTCATAAAAGGTGATTCAACTTTTAAAATGCAAATGTTGGGTTACATAGTTATTGGTTTACTAGAACTATTAAACCGCACTTCTGATATCACGACTACAAAACATAAACAACATTTTTATTGGTAAAATATGGCAGTTGAATATTATTCAATATACTAATAGACTAAAATTTTAAAGTTTAGACCTTTTATGTTATGATTAAAGACAACAAACCACGATACACAATAATAAAGATGAGAAAAAAATGATGTAAGGAATTCTGTGATTAAATTGATCAGAGTAATCAAATTACATCCACAAATGAGCTAGAGAGAGATTTTATTGATAATCAATGATGCATACTTTTTAGTATGGTGATTACAATCATACTAAGAAATCAAATTTCTATTAAACATTTAACCTAATTTCTTATGGACCGGACCTTAGGCCTATGACATACATTGATGGCAGATTTGGTCCCAAACTTATTAGGCTAAACCGAAGTTTAGAGTCTGAGACCAATTTTCATCATTAAAGGAAAAAGCCTGATGTACACCAAAGGTGAAGTTCAAATGAAGAGTTCCATTTCAATAGTATTTGGCTTGCTGCAAAGTCTTTAGACTTTGCTTCTAACTTTATTCGAAGTTCTACTTCTTGGTTGCACTTTTTGACATTCGTCGTCCGCAACCTCGCTTCAAGACCCAAGCTTTGCGCCATTGACTTCCTCAAAGGATTTTTTCTTCAACCGAAGCTTTCCACCACCAACTTTGTCCGTGGTCAAAGGGAAGATTACTCCCCACAACTCAACGATCTCCAGTTTGAGGACGATCAATCAATTTGTTTCCCTCCAAGCTATGTAACCCTATCTTTCTCTCTCTCTCTCTCTCTCCATATATATATATATATATATATATATATATATATCGCCCCCGCCTTCACTTCAAGTCTTTAGAAGGCCAGTTGAAGCCATACGTAACTTCGACCATTCATCTTGATGTGTTTTGTTTTTCTGTGAAACACTAGATTATTCGCCATGTGAACTACACTTTGGTTCTCACAATGTCGCACATAATATTATTGTTTCATGCCTAAACTTGATAGGAAGTTCTTCAACTAAATGAGTTCCTTGATAGCTTCTTCTATAACCGTATATTCCTCCTGGGTGGTTGAAAGAACAACACTATTTTATAATTTGGACATTCAACTAATGGTTTTTCCTTTAATCAAGACAGATAACTTGTTGTGAACTTCCCCAAATCCACACAACCCCCAATTCAACATTAATGAAGCCTTCTAGGACGACCTTTTTCCTTTTGAAACTTAGGATACGTATGAAGTTCCTTTTAAGGAGTACATCAACCACTTGACTCCTTCCCAATGCTGAAAGAAATAATGTTTTCTTTTAAAAATTCAAAAACCAATGTTTCGGGATTTGGTCCAACAAATCTTTAAAACATCACAAGTTATGGCCTTCTAAATTTCCAAGTAGTCTCTATCCATAAATATCATCCCTATCTGCGAGAACATGTCATAATAATAATGTTAGCCTTAGAGAGCCTAGTGAGTAATATTAGAACTTGACCTTGGAATGAAATTGGGTAGTGACATTGACCCAATTCTTAAGTCTTAATTCTTAAACCATTTTAAAAACATTTTATAGTCTAAGTGGTCTATGGCTACTCTCGAAGTTTAGATAAATCTTATCAAAGCATAACAATTCAAATGGATATGCATCTAAACCCAATCCAAGTTCTCTACTCTCAATAAGGCCCTTTCATTCTGTAGTCTAAATGGTCTATGGCTACTCTCGGATTGAGGCTTCTTGCAAATCAACCCATTGCCATTGAGTTACCAAGTAAGTCAATTATGACCACAAAGGTCATAAACAAGAACTAATCCTTTACAAAATTTAGACAATTATGTGACCATTTCCATAAGTTCTCATGGAATGGAGTTGCAAATTCCATCCCTAATCATATTACTTAAGCTTAAGGGAATCTCTCTTTTCGAACTCTAGGAAATTAATCCTTTAAACTCCAATGTGCTATACCCTTCAAACTCTAGGAATATAATCATTCGGTCTCAAAACTCTCAAAACCACCATCCTATATGTGATGCACAATAAGGATGCTAAAATAAAGTTTCAAATCCATATAGCCTTTCTCTTTCAAACACGTCCAAAACATATTTCATATGCTCAATCTTGCCATAAAGGCTATGAAGATATTAAGAGTACATATAATATCATTAATATCAAAATTTTATCAAATATATTGATATGGGAACATGTACTTTATGTACTCACCTCAAGCCAAATTCTAAGATTCTTTAATCTCCCGATGATAATTTAATTATAATATCCACCTATTAAGTATAATTGAAGGTTACAGCTTGACTAAAATACTTATCCAATGTTGATTATATTCTTTAATATTTTTTTTACTCTTTTCTAGGTTATATAGAAGCTATGGAAGAAACCAAAGGCATAGGTAGGGTGTGTATGGGGTTGGTTTGGTTCAGTTTTTAGCTAAACCAACCATAACCATTACAAATAGTTAATGCATTTTGGTAGTTATTGGGTATTGGTTAATATTGGTTTTGGTTAATGGTTTTTATCAGTTAATCGTTATGGTTAATATTGGTTAATCATAATAGTCGAAAATGAGATAAAAATAAAAAATAATTTGCTATAAAAATTGAAAAACATAAAGTACATTGTTATAAAAAAAGTGAACGATTCAGTGTATATAACCTTACTAATATGATAGAAAATTAGGTATCCCATTTAAATTCAACACCCTTTAAATTTTCAATTCGAAATATAATTACATACCATATATTTAATATTATATTATATTAAAAATATTTATTAATATTGTTTGTTTGGTTCAATTTTTAATGGTTTAGTTTTGGATAAAAACCATACCCGAACCATATGTATTTGGTTAATCAAAAATAGAAACCGCACCAATTTTTTTTGGTAGTGGTTTGATTATTTCGGTTAATTTGGTTTTGATTAGTTTTTTCGGTTAATATGCTCACCCCTAGGCATAGGGTTAAGCCAAACTAAAGATACAAATATTTTTGGAATTTCTTAGATCCCAAACCTGCTCGGATTCGTTTGGGCCGACCTAATTTTAGCCCCGCCCAACACATAAAATGTTGATTTTCGTGTTTGGCATTATACTTTGGTCATTTCCCCCTATTCATTATATAACTTAACCAATGATTAATAATGGTACAAACAAGTCTAAATATCAGTATTCAATACAAATTTTTCCATAACTCAAACGTGTCTTACTATCTTAAGTTCTTAATGTCAATTGAGTTCAAGTATACACTTAAACAACTTCAACTTGTTACTTAAAGAGTTAAGTTTCTAACGACATATTACGAGTTTCTAGTTTACTTTTTCATCACCAAGTGATCTTGACGATCCTTATATAGCTAACTTAAGTACTTAACTTCATTCCATTTCAATTCCCCAATCACGATTCCGTTACATTGGAGTTGTGACTCTTAGACACACTTATGGTGATTCTTAGACACACTTATGGTGATTATGAGCTTGCTACAATGATTAATATATTTCAAATTTCTAAAAACTTTTAGTTTCATTTGATTGAATCAAGAACCATAAGTGATTTAACTTATTTAGAAAATCACTCAATTCCATAACTTCCACAAGTCCCATTGGAAACACATAACAATCAAATCACGATTTCAAATAATTACTCATATATTAACCCTGAAATCACTTAGTTTCAAGTTTAATCTCAAGCTTATATAGAAGTCATCAATGCTAGAGTACAACTCTTCACCAACTAAGGTTCCAAATCCTATTTTTTCCATCTGTGGAGATGGAATCAACCACTTTAAGGGCGAAGGGATGACACATTGGTGATTCAATACAAGTTACTAGCATCAATCATCAACAAAACTTAAAACGAATCATAGAGCCCTTCGATCAATGGTGGCGAGAGGCCTAATACGATGATTATTTCAGAAGAATCGCACACCCCCTTGTTTTCTCTGGTGATTTTTTTTTTTTGCATTCAACCACTATACATGGTATATCATGTTTTTTCTATACCAACATAATAAAATATATA